TTTCTTGGTATTTTGTGTAGGATTCTTGCCTCTGTCTTCTCATGTAAGATTGGCGCCATCTGTGTTCAATTTTGGTATCACAGCTGAGCTTGCATCGTAGAAGGACTTGAGGAATGTCTAACCTGCTTCTGTGCTTTGGAATAATTTCTGTAGCTTGAGAAGTGTCAATTCCTTGACAGTTTGAAAGAATTCACCAGTCATGTAATCGGGTCCTAGAGCTACGGAGGGGCCATTTCACCGAGTTCTTGGATGGCTTCCTCAGTTTCTTGTTATATTATCGGCTTATTAACACTTTTTACTGCAATAGTTTATGATGACTTACAGTTTTCTTCTGTCCCCAGACCATTCTTCACTCCACTGTGCTTCCCCCGAGATGATTAGCTTAATTATGCATACTCTTCTATAATTACACAAAAGTCTCTTTTTTTGTTCTGTGCCCTTTCTTCCTTTCAACCTCTGTTTGTGGCTATGACCCGATTTGTCAAAGGTTTACCTCATTTATTATTATATTCTGAAGAGCCAGCATTAGGATTTATTTATGTCCATTATTTCTCTAGTTCATAATTTGTTTTCCTTCAACATGTATTGGGTTCATTTTTTATTGTTTCTATTCCTTGTCTCAATTTTTAAGTTGAGTACTTAATTCATTTAGAGTCTCTTTTAACAAAATTATTTGCTATACTAGTGTACTTAATGTAAATGTACTTCTGCTTATAGCCTTGGCCACACCTTGAAGTTTGATAATTTGTGTTCTTGTTTATTTTGTTGTGTAAGTATTACAGTATTTCTGAAGAGTGCTTTGAAACTCAGTGATTGGGTTTCTTTAAAAAGTTTGTTTTCTTGATTTACTGCACTGTGAACAGAGAACGTCGCCTACATCTGCTTTCAGAACCTTTTAAAAAGCTGTTGTTATGGCCTAGAACATGTCCAATGTTTGTACGTGTTTCGTGGACGTTTAAGGTGAATATATATTTCCTGTCTGTAGAATTCAAAACTCTATCTAGTCAGTTAACTCAGTCTTATCAATTGTGTTGTTCAGAACCATGTGCTATTTAATTTGTGCCTACCCAATATGTCAAAAACCAGTAAGGCTATGTGAAAATCTGTTAGTGTGATTATGTTTGTCAGTCTGTTTTTTTATAATCCTACTTCATGCATTCAGCAACTGTGCGATTTGGTGCGTATAATACTTGCAGCATTGTTACGTCTTCGCCAATTAAATAATACGTGTAGAACACCGAACACAGAGCCAAGCATATAGTAGGCACTCAATAAATGTTGGTTAAAAGCTGATTGTGAATCCTTTGTCCAATGTGGGATGATTGTCTTTAACCAACTTAATCCCTTGCCTTAAATCTTACCTTGTCTCGTAGTGGTTGATAGCACCATCCCGTCCTTTTAAACTCCGTGTGTGTGCGCGCGCTCACAGACTCCTTGAGTCATTTTATTTTAACAGGACTTGCAGTGACCTCTCTAGAGTTTGCTAGAGAAGTCAGGTCGGGGTTGTATAGGGGTCTCACCCTGTCCCTCTCTCTGGCTGATCGTATCCAACAAGCCACAACTGGCCCTTGAAGGAAATACAAGCCTCAGCCGTTACATTCATTAGGATTTTATTGGCTGCAAATAGGAGAGGCTCAATTCAAGTAAGCTTAAGCAAAGAGATCAGTTATTGATTCACTTACATCAACGTTCAGGATGCAGTGGGCTTAATGTAGAGCTGGTTCCCCAGGTCTAAAAATATCGCTGAGCACTTTCTTCTCCGCGGGCCTCCCAATTACCTCCCTTTTGGGGGTAGCCGCCCTCTCCTTCTCCACGTGCACCCCTGATGCTCTGTTCTTCACCCAGCAGCCAGACAGATCCCGTTAAACCATAATTAAGACCATTGACGATCCACCCGCTTCAGCAGGTAAAAGCCAAGGTCCTGGCAGTGGCGGTCCAGCCTGCGCTCCCATCTCCGCCTTTGCTCTGTCCGCTCCAGCCGCACTGGCCTTTCTGGTCCAACCAGCCCATCACGCACCTGCCTCAGGACCTTTGCATCGGCTCTGGAATGAACCTCTGCCTGGAATGCTCTTCCCTCAGAAGCCCACATGGCTCCCTCAGCCCTCCAGGTTTCTGCACAAACGTCGCTTCCTTAGGGAGGATTTTCCTGACCACGCCAAGTAGCACCTTCCTCCGCGGGCCGCTCTGCTTATCCTCATGGCCTGTATCACCGCCTGACGGTTACAGGTTAACGCGGCTCCTGTTTGGCGTCCTCTGGTGGCTATACCTGGAGGGACTTGGTCTTCGGAAGGTCGAGCTGGGGGAGGGGCTGCAGAGATCAGGCTGTGTCTCCCAGGAACCCTCCCTACACGCACACCAGCGTGCGGGGCCCCTCCCACAGGGGCCCCCCTCCCCCATGCGCTTGAAGCTGCTCTGTCCCTTCCTGGAACAGGATATGTTGGACCCAGGTGAGTATCTGCATATAGTATCTGGGGAATATGGTGGAGGGGGAAATAGGTCAGATAAGTTGGCAAATATGGCAACTCTAAACTCATGGGGAAGTAGCTGGGGTGCCCAGCCGCTGGTCCATGCCCTGTAGTTCTCATCGTGAGGCTACGGCAGTTCTGGCTGCGGGAGAGGCTTTGGGGTCGGTGGGGTTCATCCGGGACCTTGGTATTTATGGAATGCCAGTTTCTCTTCTTCTTGATCTTGTCTGTAATCCCTAAATTTCAAAAGCTTTGAAACAAATATTTTTGACGGCTCTTGCTCCAGGAGCTCAGCTCCTTGCAAAGCTGTAGAGACTCTGAGCTCGCGGGGGGTTCCACTCTTTCTGCAGCAGGAAGGACTCAGGGTAGACTTGCCAAGCGTCCTCCCCACCCACCCCTGCTCCGGGGCAGGGACCGGAGGTCACAGCGGGCTAGCCAGCCAAAACACGAGGCAGTGCGGGGAGCAGTACCGCCCCCACGCGGCCAGAATCTGTGTGGGAGCCCCTCACCCCGAGAAGGCAGGCCAGGGCGCTCGCAATCCGACCAGGCCGGCTCTCCCTGCAGCCCTGGCGGGAGAGCTCGGTGGACCGACGCCGGCCCCGCCCCCGGCCCTGTGGCCCCGCCCCCGCCGCCGGCCAGGCTGACCCGCGGCTCTTCGGCCTGTGAGGGCCTGTTTCTCCTCTTCCCCCAGGTGGTTGAACTCAGCTCCCTGTCTGTAAACTAGGGTCCCATTTCACCAATGTATCCATTCACCTGGCGTTTCCTGAACACCTACCGCGTACGGAAGCCTGGGCCGGGCAAAGGTCAGAGGGAGGGGCCAGGCTGTGCAGGCCATTACCCTCAGCGGCGCTAGGGCTGGGGCTGGTGGCATTTTAACTACTCACTCAGTGACTCAGTATTTCTTGAGGACCCACTGTGCACTATGGCCTGGGTGATCTCCAGGGTACTGGGAGGAACCAACTGTGTTGTCCCTGACCCTGAATGGCTCAGGGCTGATGCTGGGATGTACTATTCCTTCAGTCACCTGGCACTTCTTGGAGACCTAGTATGTGCTGAGGCCTGGGCTGGGCAAAGTTTGGATCACAGGAAGGGACCAGAATTGCATGGTCTCTGACCCTGGAAAGGCCTCAGGGGTGGTCCTGAGGATGTTCACCTATTCATTCATTTTCCTGATCTTTTCATTCTTATCTCCTGAGGGCCTACTGCGTGCAAGACCTGGGTTGGATGATATCCGGGGCACAGGGAATGCCAACTGTGTGGTCCCTGACTCCGAATGACTCCAAGGGCTGGTGCTGGGAATTACAACAGTCCACTCAGTCACTGGCACTTCAGGACCTACTGTGTGGCCTGGGTGATGCCTAGAACACAGGGAAGACTCAGACACTGTGGTTCCTGGCTCTGCAGGACATCAGGACCGGGTCAGGGGTTTTCTTCTTATTCATTCACCTGACATTTCTTCACAACCTACTGTGTGCCAAGGCCTGTGCAGGTAATGCCAGGACAGGAGTCAAAAGGGCAGACAGACTGTCCCCTCCCAGGCCCCTCACCAGCCTTCTTTGTAGGGCCGAGAGCTGAGGGAGCTGGCAGGCAGGGAGGCAGCTGTGTCTCCATGTTTATCTGTCTGTATCTCTCTTTCCCTTTCTCTCTTGGCTGAAGATCCTTTGTGTCTGAGTTACTTTTAAGGCTTGACACATTAGTTTCTGATAAATTACATCACTTTTTCAACCTTTCTGGGTGGGAAGGAAATCTGAATATTGACTGGACAATGGATGATATTAAGAAATTATTCATTTCATTATGTGATAATGTTGTGGTTGTATAGAAGATACTTATTTTTTCTTAGAGATGTAAGCTAAGGTATTTACCAATTAGTGAGATCATGTCCGTAATTTACTTTAGACCTGGAAAATATACCTGTAGACATATGTTAATGACCTATTTTAAAAGCAAGTACATATTATAAAATACGGTAAATTCCATTATTTAAAAAATTTTAGGTGTTGTATTTCTATGTTACCAACATTACTTTTAAAGGTATTGAACATGGGCATTTATGATACTTTATAGCTTTTTGTGTAATTGAAAGTCTCCTAATGTGTTCTTTAAACGTAGGGGTTGTTTTTAATGCAAAGGGGCCCTATGTTGTCCTACGACACAGGACAATTTGCTGGTCAAACTTGTAAGGAAGGCATTCTTCACTTATAACTGAAAAATATTTTCCAGCGATTTTTTTTCCTGGAGCCGAACAAAACACAGTGAGTCTAGTAACACAAGGTGCCTCCGATGCCAACAAATGAAAGCAAGGTGCAAAACGGCTCTGCACGCTGCCATTCGTGTAGAAAGGTGTGCTGTACAACTCTGTAGCGTATTTAGGCATGTAAACAAACACCACATAAACATTTGCTTACAGATGCATAGAACATTCTGCAAAGATACCAGAAACTGTTCAGGGTGGCTGCCTTGAGGGAGGAGAACTTGCCGGCTGGGGTGGGGAGGAGGATGGGGCGAGATTACTTTATTACCTTTTTTTTTTACCTTTATAAGTTGTGGACCACGTGAGTTACATAAGCTCATGCTGCGTGATTAGAACTTGTGTCTCACCCCAAGAGCAGGGGGACTGCAACAGTGATTCCCATTTTTCACTCTTCCCTGTAGCCACACGGGTGGGCTGGCCCTTCCTATACTGCCCCTGGCTCTGCTGTGGGGCCTGCTGTGGCCAGTGGCACTAGAAGCAGACTTGACATAATCAGGCTTGAAGCTGTGCTGGTGTGCGCCCGTTCTCTGAAACCCCTGCTCCTGCCATGAGAGGTCACCCAGGTTAAGATGTGGCTCAAGGGCAGGAGGGCAGAGTTGGCCCAGCTGAGCCCTTCTGGACCAGCCTGTCCCCTCCCGCCCACCACTGACCACAGATGCATAACTAGTCTAGACAAGACCAAATGAGCCTGGCCCAGACCTCCAGGACCACACAGCATGGGAAGCGGACAACTGCATTCTGGACAACAGCTAATGGACACAACCATTAAGATCAATACTTTGACTCGGGGGGGAGAAAGCTGGAAAAGGGAGGTGTTTCCTTATCCTGAAAAAAAGAGACTGGGGTCTACTCTAAAAGAACTCACCCTTCCCAGGTCTGTCGGGGAGAGGCGCTCTTTTCTTCTAGAACTTTCCCTGCTGTGGCTTTCTCTGCTCATTTTTCTCTAATTTTAGAAGCACTGTTTCAGTGCTAGGGACCCACATTTCTCCTTAAGACCCTGCGCCCTTACTTAACATGCCGACTCCACCAAAGGAGCTGAACCTTTTATTCAATGAACTGTGTTGGACAAATGCCTACCTACCTGGTCATAAAATCAACACTCAAAGGGCCAGCCAGAGACCCACAGATATGTCCTCAGGTCCCCTTTTGTGGGTCACAAGATTATAAATCTTGAACCATGGGGGCGCTGCAAGGGGGTGTTCTGCGAGATGCGGGGTGCAGTCCCGGCCCTCCCGCCTCCCGGGGTAACCTGGGGCACGTCACGGAGCCTCGGTTTCCTCGCGGGCAGCCGGATGATGGTGGGGTACGTCCCGCTAGTGCTGAGGCGGGGCCCTGCCCGTCCGAGGCCCGGCACGCCTCAGCCCTCGCTCCGCGGCGGGTCCCCCGCGGCCTCCCCGGGGCCGCCGCAGCCGGCAGGCTCCTCCCCCCGGGCGGGAGCTCAGGGGTCCAATCGGGGGCGGCGGCGGCTGCGCAGAGGGGCCCGCGGCCGTCCTGTCGGCGTGCGTCCTCTGGTGGCGGATGAGGGCGGAGGAGAAGCTGAAGGCCTTGCCGCAGCCGCCGCACTCGTAGGGCTTCTCGCCGGTGTGGACGATGTGGTGCTGGATCAGGTAGGCGCGGTTGCTGAAGGCCTTGCCGCACTCGGGGCACGGGTAGGGCCGCTCGCCCGTGTGCGTGCGCCGGTGCAGCGTCAGCGACGAGCCCTGGCTGAAGGCCTTGCCGCAGTCCCCGCAGCGGTAGGGCTTCTCGCCCGTGTGGACCTTCTGGTGCTCGGTGAGGGACGACACGTGGCTGAAGGCGGCCCCGCACTCCAGGCACTTGTAGGGCCGGGCGCCCGTGTGGACGAGGTGGTGCTGCGCCAGGTGCGAGCGGTGGCTGAAGGCGCGGCCGCAGTCCCGGCAGGCGTAGGGCCGCTCGCCCGTGTGCACGCGCCGGTGCTGGCTCAGGTGCGACACCTGCGTGAAGGCCTTGCCGCACTGCGCGCACGCGAACGG